CGGATGCCAACCCTCTGCAGTGTGGTGTGGAGCAGCGGGCCTGGTCCAACGCAGCAGTAGCTGGAGGAGGGGAGGAGCAAGCTTCTTCCTCCCCTCAGGCCTGGGCCCACTCCTCCCCCACCCCCACCCATCAGGTCTGAGCTCACTCCTCCCGTTCCCCCACTGCCACTGGGTCGGCCCAGGACCGGTACTCCCCCTACCGTGGTGGGCTGGCTTCTTCCCTGGCTCAGGCTCAGTCCTCCTTCCCCCACCCTGTGTGGGGCCCAGACCAATTTTTCCCCTCCCCCAAATGCCGTAGTGCACCCGCTATTCCCCCAACCCACAGTGGGCCCGTTCCGCCCCCCACTGCCATGCTGTGGCCCCCCCCGTGGCGTCCCAACCCCGCTCCCCCCCCATGCCGCCGCAAAGGTTCCCAGACTGTGGTATGCACACCCCAGTATGCAAGACATCTCTGGGGGGTACACAGGAGAAATTGTATAATGGCAAATTTAATTTTCATTATAATACTAATTGGCATTTAAGGGGTTAAAACATAAAATGTAAGCTGGTTGGGAGTATGGGGCAGCTGGTAAATCTGGAAGGGGGTACACAAATTTGGGAACCTCTGGTTTAGAGAAAAAAAATTAGGTTAATATCAGCTTCTTCAAAACTAACATGTTCAAATGTTAGTAATCAAACAATGTTTCGTCAGCTGGAATACTACCGTCCCTCTTGTCACTTCAGTTCAAACAGAAAATAATAAAAAATTCAACAAATGTATTACAGGTGCAAAATGGTTTGCACAGAAGAAGAATATGAGGCCAAATGTAATTTGGACAAGCTGACGAAAAAAATGACATATTATCAAAAGCTAGACACTCCCAAAATGAAGACACTTAACAAGCTAATTATACATATATGAGACAACAATTATTGAAGTTCAAAATGCAAACTTTAAGAACAGATTTTTTTAAATAAAACCTTTACCTAAGACTGATAAACAGACGCATACTTGCTTATAAAAATAGCATCTTTTTATTAGCTCAAATAAAGTACCAAGGGTATTTCTTCCTCACTCTTCAGCCATAAGCCAAAGCACTCAGTGGAGTCAAGAACACCTTGGTACAACACAGTTTTGCTCAAACTGGTGTTTAGGAACTGGCCTTCCTTCCCTGTGCTCCAATATGTACACAATGCATGTAATTTAAAAGGATGAACTTCTTACCTCTTGGTCCAAGCCAAATGTTCAGATAACTATTGATTGTTTTATCCAGGGATTCCATTTTAAGACCTATGAAGTCAAGGAGGAAGGAAAAACATATTATTTTCTCAACCTATAAAAAGCCCATCCAGCATCACTCATCAACCTTACAAGGCAAATATATTTGCTATAATATCAGATACGGACACATGAACGTGTTACTGGAAGATGAGGTGTTTTGCTTTTCTGTACTCACTGCTTAGTATCCTACAATAAGCACAAGGTGGGAACAAGCACAAAAAGAGACAGCAAATAACTACTTCGAAGTACAGTATCTTTTTGTGCTTGCTGTGGGATAAGAAGTTAGTACAGAGCAGCCTTATGTAGGTTCAAAACGCCTCATCTCTTTATCAGTGACATTTTCACATGCTCATACACAAAATTTTCCTAACAAGAACTTCATGCAAAAGCAGTAGCTGAGTACAGTTTTGCCAAACACAATTGTCATGAACCGAACCCCACAAAAGACATGACTGGCTTAAGTCATGCAACAGAAAGATATTTTTATTGTTCTGTCCCTGTTATCTGGCATTTTGATGTTTAGGGTATCCTTGTATTGCTTTTTTCCAGCTCTCTCTAGTCATAAAAATGAGGAGACTTCTGAAGTATTTTAATTCAAACTTCATAAAAATACCTATTCTTGAGAAGCTAAGGCTTAATATGACATACCAAATACCTTACAACCCACAAAAAAGTGACAAGCTGTAAGTGGTACATTTGATTTGGAAAAGCAAAGGAAGAAAACTATGGACATTCATTATATATTGCAGGTTGTGATATACTAGATTTATCAACCTCTTAGTCACTAACAGACTAGAGGTACAATAACAGAATAGGAGGGAAGATGGAATTCAATGAGAAAAAGGACACCCCCAATTCGAAAACTTCTTCAGTGGAAAATGCAACCAAAAGATACACGAAAACCCTACAGTATCACAAAGTACAGTAGGGAATAGGAAAACAGTTCAAATGCAAGCAAACTTTTAGATAGGGAGACAGTATTTGTTAATAGTAATTTGTTCTTAATTATTTGACACTTCAGAAGTTAATATTTGTTAATAATAATTTGTTATTAATTATGTGATACTTCAGAAGTTAATGGACAAAGTCTAAAACATGAAAGAAATAATCCATTTTATTATCATGCATGTAAAACCTGTTTGATTAAAAAGAATGTAATTTTCCCAATCATTAAATAAGAAAAAAAAAAAAATGACTGTTTCAGCTTATTTACCTACAGTCTTTCTGGGTCATATAACCTTAAATTATTTTTACAAGCAGTGAAACAGTGATTTTAAGTGTTTAATATTAGTTTTAAATTTCCATGTTAATGCTAATCTTCATATTCTGGATACAATGCTTAGTTTTTATTCTAATAGCATAATCCCAGTGACTATTAAAAGGGCTGCATAAAGAAACTATGTAAATTAATTGCTAACAAAAAATTGAGTGTTTTACCACAAATGGATTACTTGTATAGTTTAATGTCTGAGACCAGGTGTAGCTGAACACTACACAGAAAATGTGAAACTACACAGCCCAAAAACAAAAACTGTCATGGCAAAAGACACTATGTCAGCTCAGATCGGAGGTGTCATTGTTCTGGGATTTTTTTAAACTTACAGTTCTGGGTAAACTGTATTTTAAATATTAAATATACTGGCTGGCAGCTGCCTGCTACTTTTAGCAACATTAAAAAAAAAAAAGAAAAGAAAAGAACTGAAGCCTATTTGTTGACCAAAGGAAAAAAAGAGGCAGATAATAAGAAACCTGTTAGTGGTTTTAATATATATTCTCTCCCTGTCCTCAGTCTAGGGCACTGGACTGCCAAATATTTCAAAATTATAATAGTTGCCTAGAGGGGGAGAAGTTGGAATTTCATTTATGTAAACCAATCTCTATTTTCCTTGAGTTAAAAAAAAGAGAGAGTAAAAAAGGTTTGTTACTTTGAGTGGCTATTTTGGTTTTCTGGAATAGAACTTACTTGCTCTATGGAGGAGAGGTGGGCAGAGGGAGATTCTCCAATACAGAAACTGAGAGAGCAGATATACTGGCCATACACTCAACTCTATCAATCTTTGCCACCCACTGTTTTGAAGAGACCTACTATAAAAGCCCTTTCAATAGCCTCTCCAGTGTAGCACAGACAGTATTTTCACTGCATCTGGACCATATGCAATTGCAAAAGCTGGGTTGGAATACAGCCACTGGGGAATTCAGTGGTTGATGATTTTACTTTTGGCATTTAGAGTTGAATCAGTAAACTACAGACCTAAATATAACTTAGGTAGAATTCAGACACCCACATTATACAAAATGATCCAAATTAACCCAGTTCTAGCAGCTAGCATTTCCAGCAACCTTTAGGGCAGGGGTGGGCAAAATACGACTTGCAGGCTGAATATGGCCTGCCAGACCGTTCTATCCAGCCCCCAGGAGCCCTAAAATATTTAGAAAATATTTTTCAAAGGTGACAGGAGCCAGGGGCAGTAGGACCCAGGGGGAGCTGGTGGCAGGAGTCCAGCCCTGCCCCACTCCCAGCTATTACCCTGCCTTTCTGCCCTTGCGCTAATCCAGCACCATGTGATTTCCAGCTGCGTCACTGGACCTGGGAGCAAGGGGCTGCACTGCTAGAGTGTGTGCGCGTGTGTGTAGGGAGGGACTCTCTGCCATACATACAGACCCCATACCCACACCCCCTCACACACCCCAGCCACCCTGTTCCCCACAAGCCCCATACCCACCCACACCCCACATATCCA